CGGGAATGCCCTGCACACGGGTCCGGGCAGGGGCAGAGCCGGGCTGTCGGGGGTCACGCAGGCTCTGGGCGTGCTCACGGCCCTGATGGTCCACGTGGCGGATGGGAAGATGACAGGAGAGAACAAAAGCACGAGGAAACCGTCGTCCCTGCCTGTTTAACCGACAGACCCAACTCGACTGCAGGAGCCTGCCCTCCCCCAGGAGACTCACGGACCTTCCCTCTCTCACTGGGCGATTCCTTTGGAACATCTGAAGGGAAACCCGCCAGGGCACCCAATGAGGCGGACGACCCCTTTCCCCTGCACTGACATGGAGTCCCAGAGGGTCCAGGTGCACCCAGCCGGCCAGCCACCCACGTCCTGGAGGAGGGTCAGGCCCAACCTCCTTGAATCTGAGCAACAGGTGGGGCGAATGAGCAGCCACCGCCTATGACTAGAGAGTAGAAAACAGGCTGCCTGCAATTTAGTCTCCCAAACTACGAAAAAGGTTTACAGTGGCGAGGTTACAATCTTCCAGTGCTGCATTCCTGTATTCTCCTAAGGTGGTTTACATGGAAAAAATAAACAACGAAGGTAAGCCTCTGACCCTGAGAGACGAAGCATGTGCCCTTCGTTCCGGCTTCCTGGCTCCAAAATTCCTACTGCTCTGTCCGCACCGTAGGTGTGCCCAGGGCGGGACAGGCCATCTCTCAAGCCATCAGATACTGTAATCAACTTAATGGGAAACTACAGTCCCAAGAGAGCACTAGAGAAATAAACATTCCACGGCCCTTCTCCTTCGATTTTAGACATTGCAGGACCATGACAAGGTCAAAGCCGTGTGGCCTCCTGGTGACGAGGCGGAGAAAGCAGCCTGGCTCTGGCAAGCAGCCAGCCACTCCTGGACATGACGTTGTTAATGGGAACTTGATGTTGACAGGAAGTTATAAAATTGAGACTGTTACACTGCTTTCCAAACCGATATTCTTCACTCAAATATTTCTAGGGAAGGAAAGGAGAGTAATTTATACAAAAAAAAAAAGAAAGAAAAAGAAAAAGAAACCACTGTATGAAGCTGTATATACAGGGTAGGGCTAAAGGAGGTTTACAGTTGTTCGTATGGAAAATACAACAATTGATAAGTAATAATAAAAAATAAACTGTTTTCCATACTCATATCTGTAAACCTACTTTTGCCCACCTGTGCAGTCAGATGGCTAAGGTGGGAACAGGAGTCACACGTACGAACTGGAGAACAAGGATACTCACAGTCCCTGCGCCACCGTCATCAGCAGGGCTGGAGGACGTGGCCTTGGGGTGCATCGGCTCTACCTGCCCGAAGCCAAGTGAGGTGGGAAGGTCCCCTCCAGCGGGGGTAGGGCAGCACCCAGTTCTATCAGGCGGTCAGAAGCCTTTCTACACACACACACACACACACACACACACACACACGACCCAGATGGCATCAAAGGTGAATTTAGCCACAGCTTGAGGTTCTACCCAGGGCAATGAAAAAGCAGAAATAAAAGGCATCGTGATTCTCTATAAAGAAAATCTTAGGGAACCAGGGAAGCAATTCCTAGAACTAATAAGTGAATTTAGTAAGGCGGTAGAATATAAGATCAACATACAAAAGTCAATTGTTACATCCCAGCAGCAATAAAAGTAAAGTTTTAAAAGGATTTTGAATACCATCGATCATTCAGAAATCAGATTTATAAAGACAAGGCAGGATCTCTAAGCTGGACACCACACAACTGCTGAGAAAAATGAAAGAGAAACTAAACAAATGCAGAGATAAACTACAGTCATTAACTTCAAAATTAAAAAGGTGTCAACCCGCCCCAAACTGATATAGACTCAATGAGGTCCCAAGCAAAATACCAATATACTTTCCTTTTTTAAGAAATTGAAACCTTGATTGTAAAGGTAATATGGAAAATCAAGACACCTAAAAGCCAAAACAATCTTTTTTCCCCCTAAAATAAAGTTGGAGGACTCCCATTACCTTCATTCAAAGCATCAAGTCAACATGGTTCTGACGTAGAACAGATGAAGTGAGCACATGTACAAAACCGTCCCGACCCCTGACCCTCACATGTGTGGTCAATTGATTTTTGTCAAAGGCACCAAGACAATTCAAGGGAAAAGGAAAGTTGTTGTTTCCAACAAATAATGCTGAAACAACTAAATAACGATGTGGAAGAAGTCAACTGAGTACCTCACAACAAAGTAATTTGAGATATAGCTCATGTACCCAAATAAAAGGTTAAAATGATAAAGCTTTTAAAAATTGTTTATTTTATTTTTTCCATCACCATTTATCCTCCCATGCCCTCTTCCACCTCCACCCCAAAATCACCACACTGTGGGCCATGTCCATGAGTTCTCTCTTTCATTTATGTTTTTGCTCAATCCCTCCACAACCTCAACCTCTCCCCATCAGAGCTGATAAAGCTTTTAAAAGAGTTTATAGGAAAATGTATTGGTGAAATTACATTAGGCAAGATTTCTTAGAGACAAAACTTCTACCCATTAAAAGACTACTAGGAAATAAAACACAAGCCCCACCTGTGAGGAAATCATCACTATACATACATTTGATAAACATCCTGTAACCAGAACAAATCAATAAAAAACAAGATGACACCAATTAAAAATGGGCACAGGGCTGGCAGACCCCTCACAGTGAAAAGGCAGACATGGTGGATAAGGGGTTTAGATTAGGCCATCAGGCAAGTGCAAACTGAAACCCTGAGATCCCACTCCTTACCCACTGGAGCCTAAAACGTTAAGAACTAACACCAAGGGCTGGGGAGAGAGCACACCACCCCCACTTCACTCACGCCTAGGGGGGAAAGTAAAAGGTCTGACTTTGGGGAAAGTTCTAGCAATTTCTCATGAGGGTAAACACATTTGCCAGGCAATCCAGAAATTCCACACCTGGTCATTTACTCAAGAGAAATGAAAACACGTGTCCCGCAAGAGGCAGGGACCCGGATATTCACAGCAGTTTTACTCATAGCAGCTGAACATTGGACTCAAACGCTAACAGATTAGACAAACAAGCTGCGGGGTCCTCCACAGCAAACCCCTCAGCAATGACAGAGAACGAGCTACTCACGACACACAGACCCTGGAGAACCTCAACTCACTGCTGAGCCACACGGAAGACAACTCTATACGAAGCTTAAGAACCAGTCTGATGAGTCCCTGGGACATAAATCACAACACTGGACGCCAGGGAGGGGGACTGGATAAAAGGGAGCACAGGGAGCCTCTGGGAGTGTTTCCTGTCTTGACTGGGGTGGTGGGTACAGGGTTGTACATCACTGTATAAACTTGCTGTACACTTAAAAAATCCAAGGATTTTACTATGTAATTTTTATTGTTAATTCTGAGTATGCATACAGATTTTTATGCTATTCTTTAACTCTTCATGTCCCTCCCAAAGTTAACCATCTATATGTATGTCTGTGTAGATTTATATAAACCAGGCTTCTGGGTGTCCCCCAAAAACCTCTTTCCCAGTTCTTCCTTACACGCAGAAACCCTAATGTTAGCCAATACAGGACAACCCAGCAGGCCTTCCAGCTAGGTGTGATCACGTGACCGTTCTAGCCAACGAGATGAGAAAAACATCAGCTGACCCTCTGGCGAGGGAGGCGGGCGGTGTTCCTCTTCCCTGCTGCTGCCCGGAGTGAGTGGCAGGTGGTCCGAGGCTGGCCTGCAGCACCAGGACAGGGCCCACTGCCGAGAGGCGCAGAGCCCCCCCCCCCCCCCCGCCCCTCCTGTGAGCTGCCTGAGCCACAGCTGCACCTACTGAAGCCAGGATTGGAGGCCCGTGTCCCACGGCTGAACCTAATCTGAGCTTGATTCACAGAAACTCAAGATCCGTCCTATTCTGTGGTGCATGACGAGCATTCAACTCAACATGTCTTACAACGCTTTCTTTTTTTTCCTTCATCCCCAAATTTACTTTAAAGAGTGGTTTTCAAACAAACAAATTCAACGCAACCGAACATGCTAAGAGACACAATGGCATTTCCCCCTAGAAATTACTTGGTGCCTGTGATTTTCCCAACACGCCGCCAGCTGGCTGTCGGGAGCGGAGGAGCACATGGCTCAAAGGGGTGCCTAGTTCTGTCTTCAGAAAGTCTATCGATTGTAACAGGCGGCTCGACAGGGAAAGCTCGACAGCGCCGGCGAGGAGCGGTATTTATGACGGCCGGGTGCTCATTATGGCGGCCTCTGACAGGGCCCATTAGAGTCGATTTTTATGTTGCTTATGTATTTTCTTTATCTAATGTCCCTGGCATTGTGTTTATTAGCCAGTTGACAAACACCGGGCTTGCAAGTGGCTGGTTTTTCCTCTCCTGGCAGAAATAACGAGAACCGCCACTTTAACCCGACTCCACAATCAATGACAGAGGAAATCCAACGTTACATCTCAGAGCGGAACACTGAGGATGGCTCTCAATGTTTATGCTCTTGCAGTCAGAGAAACAGAGTGGAGATGGTCCACCAAGCGAGGGCAGCCCTGACCTCACGCTGCAAAGGGGGTTCCTGCCTCCTCCCCAGCTGCACTGAGAGGCCAAGGCGCGCCCGACTGGGCCAGTCCAGGAGGCTGGTGTGAAGCTCACCAGGCCCACTGACCTGGGAAGACGGGCCCCGACTTAAACGCCAAGATTGAGCAGGCACCTGCGTCACCCAGTTTCCAGAGAAATCCCACCTCGCGCGTGAAGAGTCAGCCTTCAATGGTCACAATCAAGCAACGCCTCTCACCAAACCCCTGGGAGCTGCTGACCCAAAGTATGTCCCTGGGCTTCATCAGAGGGGGGCTTCTAGGGTGTCCAGCACGGGAGCCGGTAATGAAGGACGCAGACGCCCACTTGGGCTAATTTCTGTGACTGTGCCCGTGGCTCCCACTACCCGTGGCCCAGGGAAACCAAGCAGGAACCACGCCGGTTCCTTCTGTCGCTGAGCCACCACCCAGAGGGTGTCCCGCGGGAGTCACTCACCCAGCGGCCGGCGGCGTCCCGCCCAGCAGGCTGATCCCGTGCAGGCCCTGCTCGCACCCGGAGATCCGGAGCTGCCCCACGGGGCTGGCCACCACTCTGTGCTTCACCTCGCAGGCCGCATCCATCCTCCGTCGGACCTAAGGAAACATTTGAAGCGGGTGAGAACGTGCGAGGGAGAGAGCGGGTCGCTCCTACAGCTCAATGGAAACCCGTGTTTAAGCGGGAAACATCTTCAAAGCTTCCCCCCGTGTTTGGAGTTTGGTCATACACTGTGTCATTCCTTCCATACAGTTACTTTGAGGACAGAACAGCCCCATCGTGGCCATCGGCAGCGCCCTCGCCTTTACTCCCCAGGTACTCCCCTCCTCCTCCCACTGCTGACGAGCACCGGAGGTGAGATGAGGCCCCTTTGGAAGAGCTCCTAAAACTGAGCTCCCCCTACTTTCCAAAAGCAATTAAACAATCACCCCAGTTCTCACCAATGAAAACCGCAGACAGACCACGGCACTCGGAATAAAGCGTGTGTACGAACAACGGATCACAGGGGCGGAGTGCGTCAGCCCGCACCTGCGCCGCCACCTGTGTCAGGAGGCGGTCGGGAGGCAGAGCCGTTGGAATGTAACTCGCAGGCTTTGCAAAGCTTCCAAATGTGCTTACATTGGAACAAATGTAAATGCACAAAAACATCCCTGATGCGTCCTCCAGGTCAGTGGTGGCAGATGTCGCCTTTGGTTGGCACAGCACAGGCTGAAAGGGAGCAGATTCACCAAGAGCAGCGAGAAGCCAGCAAGGGGTGGAGGCCGGTTGCTAGTTTATAAAAGTCCCTCTCACCCCAGGGAGCCAAGGAGTCGGTAACGCACGGGAGGGTGGAGGGGTGCGCACCTGGACCAGCCTGCCCGTCCTCCTCGCCGACTCCGCAACCAGCCCAGCGCCCATGTCCCTCCTCCTAAGCCCACGATTCCCACAGTTCCACCTCCCACCCAATCTCGCGAGATAAACTGGCCCAGCTGGGCCGCCCACCCATCAAGACCCGGTGGGCTCCTGACTAGCGCTGACTGCTCCCTCCCCATCTCCATCTCCACTTGGCTGTCCTGTAGGCACCTCAAGTGGCCTTGTCCCAAACGGTCACCTGCATGCATTCCTCCCATGTGGGGCATTTCAGAGAAGGCACCATCCATCCCTGCCCCGTCCGAAGCCGGGTTACCCAGGATCCTCCTTCCTGCACCAGCCTCACCTGCCCCGCAAGCCCGGCTCTCACATACATGCTGTCCTCCTCCAGGCCCCTCCTCCGTGCCTCCCACCTGCTCCCAGGTACATCTAGACCCTTGAAGAGGTCAAAGGCGTTCCCCCAACCACACCGTGTGTAAGCAATACCCTGAGATCCCATCCCAAGCCCCCAGGCTCCAGAGCCACCCTGTCCCATCCCCATTTTCTGTGCAAACCGACGGGGGTTTGAACCGGGTTCCTCCCCAGGTCCCATGGGAGCACAGGGGGTTTTGCTGGGAAACCTTCTCAATGTCCCTGAATGGCCCTCTTCTAGGCACCGCAGCCTGTGGGATAGACCAAGCTTCCGAGAGGGGCCTCCACCCTCCACTTCACCAGGCGGGTCAGGGGTCCCACCCACCACCTGTCACTGGCTCGGACCCACAGGGCTTTGCCCTGAAGGATAAAGGACACCTGACTCTCAGGGTTGGCACAGGGCTGGCCCGAACCTGTGTAGAGACCTGGCAGCTGGGAAGGACTTGGGGTTAGTTATCCCAGCCACAATCGACATTTAACCAATGGCCTTGGCCTTTGACCTTGTCACCGAGGGTGCTCTACCCTCTGCAGAATCTTATCCAACAGCCTCAAAAGCTGATCACTCTTCAAAAGCAGATGGCCACCCCTTCTCCCAGCCCCCTGAGGGCCTCCCCTCATTTTTTGGGGCCAGAACCAACAGCTGCCTCCCACCCCGCACATCTGGGGACATTTCCAATCCCCCTGAGCCACTGGCAGGTGCTGGGGCAGGGCATTTGCTACCACAAGTCAGGGTCCCACTGATGGCAGAAGCATCGCACATGTGTGCTGGACTGGACAGTCAGTGTGTCCACCACCCAGGCCAAGGGTCCAGGCCCCATTTTCCAGAGCAGGCTCCCAGAGGAGTGCTCCGAGGAAGGATTCCGGGGCCCAGGGAGCAGCTGGACACGCCACCCGTCCTGGGAACACTCAGCCTGCACATTAGCATGTTAAAGCTCGGAGCAGTCTTGCAGCAAAACCAGCTCATGTGTGTTTACATAGTCTTGTGAGTGGGCTCCCCACAACCCGGCCTCCCACCGGGGTCCCGCTCAGAAGCACTGGCCCCGACAGGCCCAAGGCTGTTTCCCAGCAGATCCAGGCCCAGGAGACCTGGCTCAGGCCCCAGATCTGGAGCCTGAGCCCACGAGCCACGAGCCCCCTCTCGGGCAGGGCTCCCCGTGGCAGGCTCCAGAAGCTGAGACGGGCTAATTTAAGCACAAAAGCAATTACGGAAAGGCTGTTCCATAACTCAGAACTTCTGGGAAGGCTGGAGAAGCCGCTCAGAAAACTGTAGGAACCGAGGCTGGCCTCAGTCCAGCGCAGCCAAGACCGGGCCTCAGGAAACATCTGCGGGGACAGCCAGGGACTGTAGGCATGCAGCTGCCGCTGTTGCCACCGTTGCCCCTGGAAACAGGATGTTGCAGCCACCGTCAATTCCCTGCTGCCCGCCTCCCTGTCACTTGCCTCTGATTCAAGGCCCAGGCAGGAGCCCAGAGCTGGCTCCGGGGCCAAGCCAGCGCACGCCTGCGCCGAGTGGCAGGGGGAAGGGGTGGCTGCCAGGGGAGGAGGGCTGTGCCCACATCAGCCCCGAAGGAGGACGGGGACGCAGCACTGCTGCAGAAACTCAGCAGGAGCTGGAGCGAAGGTGCCGTGTCCATGCCCCTCCCAGGCCTCAATGTCCTCATCAATAAAGTAGGAATAACAACACTGACTGCAGCCTCGCTGGGCTGTTCTGTGGGACCAACGGGAGAACCCGGGAAGCCCTGGATGGGCCGGTGGGCAGGCAGCCCTGAAGGCCAAGGACCTGCGTCCCCCCCGGGACACATTCACCCCCACCTGCTCCAATAGCGCCCAGGGAGACAGACACGAGAGTGCAGAGGAGGGGCGGGAGGTCAGGGGGCCGATGAAGGTGACTGAGGGCGCAGGGCCTGAGGGTCCCCTGTCGGACTTCACCCCCCTGTCCCAGTGCCAGGCTCTGGCCAGGCTGACTGGCTGAACCTCGGAGGCCGTGAGCCTGGCTGCAGCGGGCAAGGGCTGCTGGCCAAGCCTGTAGAGATCCGAGCTACAGTGGCTGTGTCCACCCCAAACAGCGCCCAGCACACAGCACCTGTGCTTCGGACCTGGACCACAGGGATCTGCGGCTCGGCCTGCCCACCGCTGCCCCCGCCCTGCTGTCCCCAGGACCAGCACCACAAGCCCAGCAACACGGCGCTGTCCCTGGGCTGCCCGGTGGGAGCTCCCGCCAGGATCAGGCTGCCCTTGTGGCATTGAGAACAAGCTCCGGGGACCTGCACGGCCGCCAAAGCCACAGGCCCCCAGGTCAATCACAGAGCGAGGGAGGCCCATCCACATCAGGCCAGGGACCGAAAGCGCACCATCAGTCAGACCTGGAGCAACCGGCAAGTCCCAAACCTAAGTCCGAACGAGGCACGTGTCACTTCTGACCACATCCCATCAGCGGGTCCTTTTGTTCTGTGACATCGGAGGGAGTGGCTCCTTAGCTTTCTGATTGGTTAAGTAGAGTCTCCCCCATGTGAGGATTCATGGGGACCCCTCCCCCGGGACTGCGTGGGGCCCGGGACCAGCGCCTCTGGGTTCCTGAGCCCATTAGCAGCAGCGTTGCTGAAGATAATGCACCGCGACCCACCGACGGCCACTCTGGCAAAAGAGGAAAAGCAGCAACTGTTCTATCAGCAACATAACATTCTCTCAGCCCTGCTAGGAACAGACTCAGACGCCACAGAAACCACACAGGAAGTTCTTTCCCTCAGACAGCAGGACACTTGGCACGCCCTTCCACAGTGAGAGTGACAACCCGATGAACGCTGACTCCTCCGACAGAACAGAGAATGTCCCTGGGACGGGAGCGTGGCAGCTGGCATGGCAAGCAGTGTGGTGACGGGAAGCCCAGCCTGAAGTGGCAGGTGGGTTTGTTCCTTGTGCCACGGAGCTGGCAGGCCGGCAGAGGGCTGAGACGCCTGCGGACGAGACGGGGTGTCGCAGCCCTCAGCAGGGACCCGCAGAGGCTAGAAACCGGGCAGCAAGCAGAGGAGGCTCGATAGCAGAGGAGGCATCGGGGAGGAAGCGCGTCTCAACACAGGCTGGTGGCAGGCACCGCCTGGCAGGCCACAAAGGCAAACACACCCGGGGCTGCCATGGACGCTGGGGGCACAAAGACGCGACAGAATTCAAGCTGTGCGAGTGCAACAGCCCTGGCCCCGACCCTCCACCCTGCGATGCCACCATGCTCCAGGGCCCAGCCGGCCATTGGGCTCCAGTGACAAAACCCCACCCACACCGGCCATGAGCATGAGCCTGACCCCCAGTCAGCCATGAAAGGATGAAGACACTCACTTGGTGGAAACCACAATATTCACAGCCCTGCCCGGGCACCAGGCTCAGGGCCAAGGGGGTCCCCACTGGCCTTGGGGAGGCCACGGCTGGGGCGGGAAGGCAGCCGCTGTTGGGGAGCAGGGCCACACTTTGGGGGAGACGTGAGCAGCTAAGACATTTTGGAGAAAATGATGTCTACAGAGACCTGAATGACGAGAAGGAGCTGGAGGGTGAGAGGCAGCAGTTGCTGGGCAGGTGGAGGGGAACATGGCATGAAGCAGGGCTGGGAGGCTGGCCATGAGGCCTGGGGTACCCGAGAGAGAAGTGCGGGGAGACACGTGGCCAAGGGTGCAACACAGCCTGTTCGGCCGGTGCCGAGTCTGGCTTTGTCCTTGAGACACTAAACTTTAAACCAGGGACGGTCCACCCGACTGCGCGGTGTTAGGCCGGGAGACTGGAGCACCCTGGCCCTGACGCTGTGAGCCACCAGCACAGACCGGGGAATCCTCTCTTCTTCAGCCTGG